GAACTGCTCTAACATTAATAAAAGAAGAATCATCATAGGCAGGGGGCTAAGCATGATGTTTACTAGAAACCAACAGCAATTATTATAATCATGAAATATTGAAAGACTTATCCCTGAGACTGGGAACAAGGAAAAGATGCCTGCTAATACCACACCTATTCAACATTGTATTGAAGGTCCTAGCTAATTTCTTTCTTTAGAAAGAAGAAATGGAATTGTCATTTAACAGGGGGCATAATTAGACACAAAGACAATCCAAAAGAACTTACAAGTTATTGGAATTAAATAAATTTATCAAGTTTTCTGGAAATAAGCTTAATATATAAAAATTCATTGTATTTTAATGTTCTAGCCACAAAATAATTAGAAAAAGTAATTAAAAATTTACAATATAAAAAATTAAAATACAAAGGGATAAATCTAATGAAAAATGTGCAAGTCTTCTACAAAGAAAACTAAACATATTACTGAAAGTAAAGAAGACACACATAAATGGAGAGATACCAAATGGAAAATTCAATATTGTTGAATATGCTAATTCTGCCCAATTGATTTATAGATCCAATGAAATTACAATCACTATCCAAGCATATTTGTGTGCAAACTGACAAACTGTTTCTAAGTTATGTGGAAACACAAAAGACTACAGAAGCTATAACATTCTTGAAAAAGAACCACAAAGACAAAATTAGAGAACCTATAATATCAGCAATACTATAAAAGCTACAGCAATTAAAAGTGTGGAATTGGTAAAAATAAACATGCCAATGAAATAGAACATGAAGTCTAGAATCACACCCAGTAAAGTATATTAATCTGTGGCTAAAATACCACTTTAGTGCAGTGAGGGAAATGATAGTTTTCCTATAAATGGTGCTTATCAACTGGATACCTAAATGGAAGGAACCTTGACTCTTTCCTCATGTTATATACAGAAATATATTCCAAATGGAATTTGAACTTAAATGTGAAAGGTAAAACAATAAGGCTTCTAGAAGATAATATAAGAAAATAGCTGTATGATCTTGGAATGGACAAAGATTTAAAAAACCCATAAAGCGTTAACAATAAAAGAAAAATTGATAAGTTATATTAGCATTAAAACTCTTCTGTTTATCAAAAGACCAACTTTCAGAGAGTAAAAGGCAAGGCACAGAATAGGAGAAGATATTCTACACTATATACATCCAACAAAAGACTTATATGTATGTATCTGAGTACATACACAGAATTCCTATATATTAAAAGAAAAAGTTGGCAACACAATTACAGTGAATAAAATATTTGAATACCTTATAAAACAATATTAAAAATAGTCATTAAACATTTAAAAAGTTCATCAAAATCATTAGACATCATGGATATGCAATTCAATTTAATTCCACAATGAGATAACACTACATACACCCCAGAATGATTAAAATTGAAAAACAAACATTGGCATGCTTTATTTACAGTGGCCAAGACATGGAAACAAACAAAGTGTCCTTCAATAGATGATTGGATAAAGAAGATGTGGTATATATACACAATGGAATACTATTCTGCCCTAAGAAAAGATGAAATAGTGCCATTTGTGACAACATGGATGGATCTTGAGATTATTATGCTAAGCGAAATAAGTCAGATAGAAAAAGTTGAGAATCATATGATTTTACTGATATGTGGTATATATTGTGTTGTCAGGAAAGCCATGACGCATTTTTGCATTGAAAAATGTAGAAAAATATATCATGACTTTCCTGACAACCCAATAAAACTGAAAACAACAAAGGAACAAGACAAACAAATGAAGAAACAAAAACTCATAGACACAGACAATAGTTTAGTGGTGACCAGAGAGGAGCAGGGAGTGGTAGATGAGGGTAAATGGGATCAAATATAGTGATGGAAAGAGAACTGACTCTGGATGGTGAACACACAATGTGATATACAGATGATGTATTACAGAATTGTACACCTGAAAACTATGTAACTTTACTAACAATTGTCACCCCAACAAACTTTAATTTAAAAAGCAACTCTCATACACTGTTAGTGGAAATAAAATTGGTACAAACATTTTAGAAAACTTGGTAGTATTTAGGGAAGCCGAACATATGCATATATGTATATGCATAAGTACCCTGTGACCCCAAAATTCCACTGCCAGATACATGTACAACATAAAGGAGTTTATATTTGCATTAAAAATTATTCATGATTGGTCATAATGGCTTTACTTATAATAGCCCCAAACAGAAACTACCTAAATGCTCAGCAAAAATAAACTGCATATATAAATTGAGATAAATTCATATATAATGGAATATTACACAATCAATAAAAATCATGCAGCATCATAGACAAATATCATATATATATAATGTTGAGCAAAATAAGCAATACAAAAAGTTAATATTGCATGATTCCATTCATACGCATCCCAAACCGATAAAACTAATTATTGGTGGTAGAAGTCAGAATTGTAAATACCTTTGTGGGGGTTTGTGGTTGAGAGGGGCATGAGGGAGGTTTCTGGGGTTCTAGTAACAGTCTATATCTTGATTTGGGTGCTGTTTTCATGGTATATTCATTAGTAAACACTAGTCTAGTTGAACTCTTAAGATTTATGCACTTTGAGGTTTACACATTATACCTCAGGTGAAAAAACTTTACCCTAAAAGAGGTAAGGCCAAGGTATATAAGAAAATTCCAAATAAAATGTAAGAGCTGTGGTATTAACAATAAACAACGTAGAATTCAGGTGAGAACACATAATATGAAATAAACAATCATGATTGATTAATGGGTAAAGAATGTACTTTTGTGGATATGTTTCTGAATATCTACACATGAATATCCTTAAAAATAAAAACATAGCAGATACATGGAAAAATAAAAACACATTATTAGTATGATATTTGAATTCACCTTTTTTCCATACTTGACAAATCAGGTAATCAAAACATCAGTAAGGACATGAAAAGAGCAAACAACCCTATAGAGAGTGGGCAAAGTATATGAATAGATGATTCACTGAAAAAATATTTAAAGAGATCTTAATCAATGAAAAGGTATTCAATCCCACTTGTACGTGGAAGGTAAATTGAAACTACATTGACATATTCATTTTACCTACTATACTAGCCAAAGTTTTTAAAAAATTGATAACCAATACTTGCCTGGTATTGCTTGAAGGAAAGAAAATTGTTGCAAACCCAAAGGAGAGCAATTGGGAGTATCTATAAAGACTAGACAGGCATGTACTGTTGCCTAGCAACTCCAATTCAGGAATTTATCCCATAGATATACCTCCACACATTTAAAATGAGGAATGTGCCAAGGTTAGTCACTGAAGCGTTATTTAACATAGCAGAAGATTGATACCAAATTAAGTGTCCTTTAATAGGTGAAGTGATAAAATAAATTATAGTACATCATGTAAGTCAATATCATATAACTGTAAATAAGAATGAGGAAATACTTTATGTAATAAAATGGAAAGACAAGATACACTGTAACGTGAGACAAGCAAAGTGCAGTGAAATGCACATAATATACCACTTTTGTATAAAATGGGAAGCAAAAGAGAATATATCTCTTTGATTTGTTTGCAAATTGTCTGAAAGATTAAATAAGAAACTAACAATATTATTTATTTTTCAAGAGGATGGAAACAATATATAAGGAAGAAAGGAAGGGAAATTTTTCAATTCCATTTCTTTTTGATGTTTGAACCATATAAATGTATTACTGTTCAAATTCAGATTATGGATGAGAATTTAAAGTGAGTTAAGTTATTTAAATTTGATATAGGATGTTGAATGACATTTTATATTGGAGAGTTCTGTCATGGGAAAATATGATCAAAGTAATATTTTATGGAGATTAATTTTGCAACATGATATGCACAATGAATGCTAAGAAGAAAAGATGGAAAACAGAGACACCTATTGAACATTTTTGTAATACTCTAGGTATGGGATAATAAATACCTAAATTAGGATGGTGCTAATAGGAATGCAAAAGAAAGGATAAATGTATGAGATTATGTTTAGAATAAAAGCAGTAAAATAAAGATTAAAGATATGATTAAAAGAAAAATGTACATAGGACACCTGATTCTACTTAGCCTACATTCCTGAAAAATAAGGATAAACAACTAACAACTCTTAAGGGATGGAATAAATTCAAGAACTGTCACAATTCTAAATGAATTTCTAAAAGTCAAAATTCATTGCTTTATAAAATGTTTATAATTTTGTATGAAGTTAAAATAAAAGTAGTTTAAATAAAAAGAAATAATTTTTTATACTCTGTGAAAACAGATCTACAGTTTAATGTTAAAGATATACCTAATATTTTGGGTGTAATACTTTATACATTACCATATATGCATTATAAAAAAATCAGATAAAAGAAAACTAGAAATAAAAGCAAACTGTTCATAATCCCATCACCCAACAATTTCTACAGTTAACATTTTTTTTTACATATTTAACAAAGTTATTTTAGGAAATTTATACTCACATTTTAAAATATATTTTAATGGGCTATGCTTTACCTTGATATTTTACTTCTAACATTATTTTTTAAATTTCTTTTGCCAATGAATATACATGTTTCCCAACTATGGTTCAGAGGCCTTGGTATCTGCTGGTGTACCTATGGCATGAATGTCCCACTAATTCAGTTCTAGCTCTATGAAGAGTTTCTGTACAATATTAACAACTTTTGCTTAGAATTATTAATATATCTACAAAATAAACTTCCTTTAAAATGTCTTTAAAGTATTATACTCATACCTCTGATTTTAATTTTTGGGGAGGCCAAAATTATTTTTAAATACATTTATTTCCATTTAATTTTGGAATCAAATTTGCTTAGGATTAAATTTCAGAAACTCAATGACACCTTTACTGAAATTATGAATTGCACATTATAAGAATTAAGAAAATAAAGCAGTAGATTACTATGGTGAGTTACCAGAAGCCCGAGAAATTACCACTCGTGTTTACCTGAAGTGGGAGACTTGCAGCGCTCAAGTTCCAGGGGAACTGGACTGTCATTCAGCTCCGTTAAACCTGAAAATAAAATGACAAAAAATGAAATGAATTTTGCTAACACTTTGTAGCTAATTCTTATTTTTTAATTCCTATAAGTTTAAAAAGTTTTTTTCTTTTCCTGTGAAAACTACTTTCCTATGCTCATGTTATGACAATTATTCTGAAAATCTGTTTTAAAATCTTTTAAATTAAAATATAGTTGGCATAAAATATATTACTTTCAGGTGTACAACATAGTGATTGAACATTTATATATCTTAACCTTTTCACTGTGTTAATTGATTTCAAGTTTGTTCTCCAAAATGTGTAAAAAATCCACGGAAAATAATTACAGTATTTATATTTTAAGTAAATACAGTTAAGGTGTTACATTTTATTAAAATAAATGATTACTTTAAAGTATAAACATTTCTTATTGTTATTAATTCTTCAAAAACTCAAAAATATAGAAAAATGTACATCTACTTTCCTAAACTTCCTTTCTGGAACACTGACTCGTAGGGTAAAGTCAAACGCCGCAGTCAGTGGCATGGAAATATCATTCGACTACAGATGAACATCGCAGCGAAAAGGTTAAGATGTGAGCACCACACTAAGTCTAGTAACCATCTGTCACTGTGCCAAGTTATCACACTAATATTAACTATATTTCCCTTCACCTTTTTCACTCATCCCTCCAGCACCCTCCCATTTTAACAAGTGATACAGAAAAAAATGAGCAATAACTAGCTGATATACAAACGGTAACTGAACATGGTGGAAAGACATAAATCCTTTTTTAATTTTTTCATATGAAATATATACTTTAATAAATGACCTAGCTTCATCTGAAAATAGACCAAGAATAATACGAATTAGAAGTTTTTTTAAAAGATTTAATCAAAGCTTCCACTTTTGAGAGAAAAGAGTTATTGGCTTTTAAAAAGACCTTTAAGAAGATGCTATGAATTTTAAATATACTTATAAAAATGCAGTATTGTGTGGTACATACTAAGTGATTTGTTCAATGGTATCAAATTCATTCCTATAATAAGTATTACATTTTTATTTCTAATATTTCTTGTTTTCTATTCTGTCACCTTCCTGACAAATATAAGGATAGACACAATAGAGTAATAAACATTTTGTAATTCCCACTATCTGCCATTCTGCATTTCTATGGCATTCATAAAATATCCTTAATTATGGGTTTCCTATCCTTGTTGGAGAATCTCACATACTTTTTTCTTGGTAAATAAATATTGAATTTCTATTTAATGTAAATTCCCATACCCAGAAATACTTAGAGTTATTGCCAATTACCCAAACCATCTTTGTTTGTATTCCTTTCCACCATCCCCTTCTTTATATAATTTGTATCAATAAACTTGCTATAGGTTCAACAAATAATTTAGAAAAGGACTGTTGTGACACTCTAGCCCAACCCTTATGTTTTGTAGATAAGAAAAGTTCAAAATGTTTAAACTATTTGTTTAAGGTTACAGAATTAAGTACAGTGCCAAAGCTTGAACAGAATTCTTTATATATTTTGGTTAAAAGTCTCTTGTCAGAAATAGGTATTGTGAATATTTTCTTCCAGTATGTGTGATTTTTTCATTTTCTTAATGAAAACAAAATGTCTTTTGGTGAGCAGAAGATTAATTTACTTGAAAGATAATTTATCAGTGTTTTATTGTGATTTTTTTATTCCTGTAAAAGTAATCATTGCTTACCACAAGGTTAGAAAAATATTATTGTTTTCTTCAAAAACTTTTTATTTTTAGATTTCATTTTTAGGACTACAATCCATCTCAATTTAATTTTTGATTATGGTGCGATAGGGATGAGGTCCATTTTTCTCTTTATGTTTGACCAGTTGTTCCATCATTATTGGTTAGGAAGATTTTCCAATCTTCATTGATTTTTATTGGTGTCTTAGTAAAGAATAAATTGGACATATTATGTGGTTCTATTTCTGGACTTCCTTCTATAAACATTGGTCTTTTTGCCTATCTTTTTTTCAACTACCATACTATTTAATTAATGTAGGTTTATAGTGTATCTTGAAATCAGGTAGTAAAAAACTCCAACTTTGTTCTTCTATAAGTGTGTTTTAGTTATTTTAGATTTTTTGCATTTCTATATAAATTTTAGAATCAGTTTGCCAATATCTACAAAAAATATGCTAGATTTTATTAGATTGTGATAAATCTATAGATACATTTGATAGACTAAGTATCTTAATATTGAGTCTTGTAACCCACACATATGGTGTTTCCCTCCATTTAAATGGTTAAATTTTTCTTTTCTTTCTGCACTGTTTTGTATATTTTAGTATAGAGGTCTTGTACATAGCATTTTTCAAGATTTGTATTTCCCTTTTTGGTCTTCTGCCTAGTTCTTGCATCATTAAAGTTGAATTTTGAATATTAAGTTTTCAATAATATTTTTGCACATTATTTACATTTATTATTATTAAATTTTCAGTACCTGCAAGATATAAATATGGATCAAATGGAAGAAAATAGGAACAGAAACCAAACTATTCCAGATGCACATAAACAGACTGACTTTTGTTCTGGTCTTCAATGTCTCTAAAGGGAGCATCAGGGACAGTATTTCTAATATGGAACTAAGTTAGAATATTTCTTTCTTAGAAGAAATTCCTAGGGAAAGGCAACAATCATTGGAATCTTAAATGGACATGGGGAGGTATGTTTGTAAAAAGTCAAGATTCTAATAAAGAAAATTAGCCAGTGGGCAGCAGGCCACAGACATAGCAGATGGGGACTTTGTTGAGAGATTGGGAAGGAAAAAAATAAGAACTAAAGAAAAAAAGAATTAGTTGTGTATTTGGTAGCACAGTATAAGAAATGATTACTAATTTCTCATGGACTATCTGACTATTGGGCCAAAAGATGTTACATACCCTTATTTCCTCTGTTTAAGTTTCTTACTTCTCTAAATATTAAAGAAGACATGGACACAGAGATATTAGATGCTGAGAGGGAAGAACACTAGAAAGTTATCTCAAAGTCAAGAGGGTGGTTACAACTTTATCAGTTTCTGGGGCCAGTTGGTGATACATAAATAGTACCTCTTCATGATTAGTAAATATGTGCATGAAACCAAGTTCAGAAGTGCTGGTGATCTTGAGCAGGAAACATGAAAATCCTTCTTGTGCCAGTCAAAGGGATTGCCTTTCCTGATTTTTTTTCCCTCTACTTTCCCATGTCTTAATATCCCTCGCATTGATCATGCTTGGCTCAATTTTTTGTTGAATTGTTGTATAAATATGGATCAAATGGAAAAAACTAGAAACTAAAACCAAGCATTTTAGTTACAAGTGCAACTTTTATTCTGCCCTCCAGTTTCTCTGGAGGGAGCTTGAAGTTGTAGTTGTAGCTGGAGAGTCAATCACCTGTATGTAATGGATCACAGATGCTAATGGAGTTTCTGTAGCTTGACTGTTGCTGCCATTTTTTCACATGCACACTGCCTTGACTCTTTGCAATCCCTTAAAAAAAAAGCCTTTCCATTGAGGATGGTCACACAGTCTCTGCTTCTTAAGCTGGTGAAATTTATAATTATATCAAGCAATCAGAGGTGTAAGAGGCTCGATCCTTCCACAGCCAGGCCTTGCCACCATGTTTATGGGATAGCCCTGTCCAATATGAGTAGAAAAGCTCAGTGTAGCTCTGAGACTCCAGCACTTCTTGTGTGTTTATCTTCAGCATGGTTGAGTTCTCAGCAATACAGAAATATTCACAACCTTGCCAATTTTTGCTCTCTTTATAGAATTGGTAACATTTGTCCCCATGCCACTTCCATTTTTCTGAGCATGGGCTACATTTGTTTTGTTATAGAGCTTTTTCAGCTCTACACACTGCAGCATTTCTACAATTTTCCTGTTCTGGGCTTGGAGAGATTACAGCTGTTGGGAGAGATTCCCCAATCTTTTTTTCTTTTCATAAATACTGTCCTGCTGACTACTGGAGAGGTGGAAGTACTGAAAAAACACAAGCCCCTATGCTGCCGGGCCAACCAGCAGCACTAGGCACAAAGTCAAAAGGGTAGGGCCACTGGATGCCAAGTGGAAGAGAGAGACTGGTGCTCTGTGTGCCCAGGCTCTGGCAGATGGGTTGCAATAGAGGTTTGAGAATACAGACTCATGGTGGTGTCCTCATTGGCATCCGGCATTCCAGCACGTTCCTTGTGCTGCTGTACTTGGCCTACATCAGTCTCACTGACAGAATCACTTGCTCCAAGCCCCAGTGTTGGGGCAGTAGCCCAAAAGGTGCCAGGGACACATGAGGAGGAACCGAACTAGCCGGTTTTAGGGTGAGGGCTGGAGGGGCAGCTTTATCCCAGACAGAAGCTACTGTTCCCCTGCTTAACTTCCAATAATTATTATCAAATTGTCTATTTCTCCATTTGATTCTATCAGGTATTGCTTCATGTGCTTTGTAGCTCTGTTGTTAGGTACATATATATCTATAATTGTTATATCTTCTTGATAGATTGACCATTTTATCATTTGAAATGTCCTTCTTTATTTCCAGTAATTTTTTATTTTAAAGTCTATTTTGTGTGATATTAGTATAGCTACTCCAGCTTCCTTATGGTTGCTGTTTGCATAATCTTTTCCCATCCTTTTATTTTCAACCTATTTGTATCTTTTTGTGTTGCCTTTGGTCAGTACAGTGTTGCATCTCGATTTTTAAAAGAACTGGTTTGACAACCTCTATCTTTTGATAGCATTGTTTAATATATGCACATTTAACATTAATGATATAGTTAGATTACATTGGTCATTATACTTTTGGTTTTCTATATGTCTTATGTCATTTTTATTCCTCTTCTCCTTTATTGCTTTGTTTGGCATAAGTAATGTATTCTTAGTGATAACTCTCTAGTATCTTTAATGAATTTTTCACTATATTTTTGAAGTTTTTCATGGTTGCTCTAAGACTTAACATACATCTTAACCTATCAGAATGTACTTCAAATGTATACTAACTTAATTTTAGTGAGATACA